TTTGATCATACATTATAAGGCATGGCTATTTCTCGTAGGAATGTTTAAGAAATTCTAGAAAAACTGAGAAATTAGCCTAACCCTCCCTTCAGGTTGGAGCTGTACTGATCCTGAGGCACTTGAAGGTCCCTGCTGACTACACTACTCTGGAAAGAAACCTACTTGTTCCCATATGTCATTCACAGTGTACATTTTTTGTACAAAACACTCCAACTCACAAATTGCCACACAAATTCAACTTGCCTGAAAGTGAAAGCTTAAACTCTGGTCAGGGCTTGTATTATGTAGAAGTAGTGTTAAGTTGTGAGGAGGATGTGTAGAGAGTTTCACCTCATGAATTTCTGGAAGAAGACCAGCAGTTTGATCTTTTAGATCTCAGAAGAGGGACCTGCTTGACCTCTTATTAATAGGGAAATCAAGTTGTTTCTTTCTTTGGAGCAAACATTGTAACAGGCACACTCTTTGCAAAAAATAGCCAAAAAACCATCTTTATTTCATTTATGTACTGCTAAACCAAACACCAGGAATTATTTTCAGATAAATCCAGTGGATTTTCTTAACTGTTCCCTAAGCAAAGGATATTTTTTACTTAGTCTAATAAGGGATAGTGAGGTAGGTACAGGATCTTTATATTCTTATCTTCTGTGAGACCAAGGTAAGAGTCATCGCAAAGCAATGAGAATCTCTGCACCAGGTTGTAGTGTTTCTTGGTGTACAGTAAATGCTCATGTCGGTTTTTATTCTTTTTATGTGTACAAAGACATTCTACCATACTAAACTCTTAATGTAAAGTTTATGCTTCAGTAACACTATTTTCTTCTTTATTTTACGTGTGAGAAGTTATTCTTAATTTTATGGAGAGTGGTGAGGGAGGAATGTTGGCTATGTTCTCTATTCTCTCCTATCCCAAGCCTGTATGACCAAATAGCTGCCTAAGAAGACCTCCTGGTTTTGAAGTCTGTAATCCTTTCAGAGGACTTCAGAGGCACTGTATGTCAAGCACCTAAAAACTTGAACAGCTTGTTCTGATTCCTTCTCTTTTCCTCTGAGCATTACTGAAAAATGATGTGCAAACTGCAGTGCAGCAATTATGAAGGCAAATTAACATTACCAAAATGTTTGACTTTCTCTTTACAGGAAGTACCTGATAAAAACAAAACCAAAGGACTATATTTTAGAGATGGGAAATGTCGAATTGACTACATTCTGGTGTATAGAAAATCCAATCCACAGACAGAAAAGAGGGAAGTATTTGAGAGAAATATTAGAGCAGAAGGACTTCAAATGGAGAAAGAGGTAAGAAAGCTTCCTTGAAAAAAAAATTCAACCCTTAAAGCTGTGTAGAATCTGAGGCTATGAGTTTTGTTTACTCTGAAACCCCTTTATTCTGTCGTAGCAGTGGAAAAATGCTTTTAAGCATGCCTAAATATAGGCTATTTATTGCCAGAGCAGTGGGAATGCATAGCCTAAAGAAAAATCAGACACATGGATTGAAGGCTAAAGTAGGCCATTACAGTCATCTTTTTCAACCTTATGCACGAGTAAGCTAAAGAATTTTATCCACTTTGCTGTGCAATAGAGAAAACAAGTGCTGGGTTTGGGTGGCCTAATTTCTACTGAGTGCAGTCCACATTTCTGCACCTATTCTTTTTAGTTACTTGCTCCAATCATTGCTCAGACTCTTGGAACTCTTTTCAGAGGCCTTACTAGACCCTGCCTTCCTTTTCCTGTCAGCTTAGGCGCAGGGACTTGAGCAGTGTTTTGGTAGTTTGAACAGAGTCTGAAGTCTCTCTTTCTGTCTTAATCCTAAAAATTGAAATAATTGGACAGTGGATGTGAATCATTTCTACCGGTTATTTCCAGCACAGTGTGTTAAAACAGTGAGTCTTTTCTGGACAAGAGTGCAAAAGTGAATGTAAAGTGCCTAAAAATGCATTGATGTGATAAGTAGCAGGAGCAAGGCTTAATGAGACCATCTGTTTTGCCTACGTTGTGTTCTCTCTTAAACTTTTAAAAGTGTACTTAAACATGGCGTAAGTCTCACTTCTGCACAGAATACTGCAGATACTGCTGAATGTATATCTCTACCTGTGCTTGATCAACTCACACTCATGCTTATATGCATTGTCAAGTGCCACTGATGGAAAGAGTAGAGGAATTCTCAGGTTATAGGCTTTGGTCAATTACGTAGGTGCTGTGTAATACCACTGAATTCCTGGTACATGTGTAGATATTCTGCCTGTGTATTTGAAAAGCATGGTTCTGCGGAGAACACTGGGGATGAAAAAAATGGAAACTTTCTCTCCAGAACAATGAAAATGTTTCCTTTATTTAAATGTTTTTGAATGAACATGGGTGCTTGTGGATGTAGGAGTATGAGCGTATCACTAATTACATCAACCAGTTACCATAAACTATTCCATCAAATAGCCTTAAAGTTATCATCTTTAGTGCTGCTGTAGATGACAGATGTTTTCGATAGCATCCATTGTTCATTTATTCCTGTAAACATACCACTGTCTGTAGGAGTTGTAATACAACGTCTAAGAACATGCAAGTGTTGCTGCAGCTGTTCAGCTTCACATTCTAGAATCCTGCCCTGCTTCCACCAGGAGAGATGCTGAAGAAGTCTCTGAAGTTCGGGCACTGTAGAAAATCAATGTGAAATGAATTCTCCCTTCTGATACCCCTGTCCAATGGTCTCGAACCTATTTCTTTCTACTTTGTGATTTTTGCAGTTTTGTCATGGTACTAAGGTCAATAGTGTAAGCTATGAAATCACTTTATATTTTAAGTATTATGAAACTTATTGCAACATTCTACACAGAAAACTTCTTCAAGTTGGTGATTCAAGTGCTTACTATAGAATTTTCTTGTTGCTTTCAAGCCCGTTTACTTGGACTTTGCTGCCTAGGCTGCATTAATGTTCTACCCATTTGATTATTCATTTCATTTTCTATTATGCTACTGACATGCAGTTTTATTTCTTATTAATCCCATTTGGCCTTGGTGTGACTTCTTGGCAGCATCAGTAATTGTACATTTTCTAAGCTCAGAAGGATCAAAATGAGGTTGTATCACATGACTCAGGCTAATTTTTTTAAAATCTAGGGTAGCAATCTTCTTTAACATATTATTCTGACCTAAAATTAAACCCTAGCATGTGTATTTTATGATCACATTAGTTTCCAAATTGAATTATAATCTTGAAGGAAATAACTATGTTCTTGGTACACTCCATCCCCCTCCACACAACGTAACAACTGTGCTGCGTAACACTTAGGTTTAAACTAAGCAGTGTGATTGACTAATGACTAGATTATTTCTTGTTATTTTTACTTCTCTCTTTGGTGGGACTACACATCATTCTGAGTTACAATTCTGGAATATTTTAACAGAAGGTCTGTTTTCTCATTCTTCAGATACAATATATTGCTTCCACTGGGAAATGTTTGCTCCCAGATAAAACAAGATAATTGTGGCTTTGGTCACAGAACTAATACAAAGGCAAAAGGCTGTGACCACTGGACTGAAAGAAACTTGCTACCTTCTTTTAATTTTGTGTGGTTGTTGGTGCATTCTCTTTTGATTTCTGGCGGTTCATATAGCAACATTCATTTGTGTTAGTCCTGTCTTTTTAATGTGAAATCAGTGGCAGAGAGGAAAACTTACAGAGCTGTTCACACTCTAGTTTCAAACCCATATTGCTCTGCACATTGCAGAAAGAGAAGAATACACTGCAGTAGCTCACTGACAAGTGCAGCATGGCAAAACACCCAGGAAGTGTTGAGTACAGGGCACATAGTGTTCACTTAACAGCATGAAATAAGAAAGTGAATCTGAAATAAATACATAAATGTTGAGATAACTTCAGGCATGGTGTCAAGATGATGTAGCTGAGAAAGGTACATGTTTCTAATTCTATAAAAAGGTAATAACATTTTGCAGATAATTCCACAATGAATTCACACTCACATTTTTTAGCTATACCACAGCACTCTGCCATGGAAGTTCTGCCAGGTTTGGTGCTCTGTATATTCAGTAGTAAGCAACGAAGAGATCCCTGACCAAGTTGAATTAGGGAAAGCATGCATAGCAGAGCTCTGAAAGAGAATGCTGATTGAGTGGAACACCATAATTTTCTGACCCTTTCCTGTGCTTTTCAGTGTATTTTGGATCTGGGTAGCATGACAGTGTTGTCCCAGTCCAACATGGATCACATCCAACAAGTGATCATATGCATAAAAACTCTAGGTAAGTTAATTGAAAATACAGGTCATTCCAGAAAAAGAGACTGTATTTTGTATCCAGCCAGATATAAAATTTCCTATGTTGCTTTATCCTTTTTTACAATATCTCACAAGTGAGAGAAGTAACTATGATATCCTGGCTGTGGCATTCTCAATGACTCCACTGTTTTCATCTTTTAATAACCTTTGAAACAGATTTATGTATTGTGTAAATTGGAGTGGGCAGTCTCCAAATGGAACAAGTTTTTATCATGGATGAGATACCAATAGCATTGCTGGTTTGTAGGACTGATACCTTCTGTAAATATTACACAAAACTTGTAACTTCCAGAGTTGACTGGCAGATGGTTAACAGATACAAGGTACTACTATCCACATTCTGAGGTTATGTTTCATATTTATCCAAATGCAAGATAAACCTAAGACTAAGATCAGCCCACTGATGCTTAGAAAAAAATAACTTAGAATCACTTTTATGTGAAAAAAATTAATACGGATAGTATCTGTGATTTCGAATATTGTGTTCATCCCTCTGGGGCAGTAGAAACCCAGCATTTTTCTGGAAAAACTATCTTTTCAGGAGAGAGTGAAGAGTCAGAATAACATTGGGACAATCATATTTTTTCACAAGAATAAAGATTTATAAATTCAACCTCTTGGCCAAAAGTGAGCTAAGTTCCCTTATCCCAAATTATTCTTATATCTTCAATTAATGTATTTTAATCCCTGTCCTAAATGGCCAGGTAGAACTAAGTTGCTGTAAATAGTAACTATATTGTGCTAGTACATGTATACAGTATTACAGACAACTTCCAGTAAGGTACTTTAAATTATGCTACACTCGTAGAACATGCACCGAGATAGCAGTTAACATGGAGCAGTTAACATACGTGACTTATTCACTTGTGACCTATTTAAGCTGGACTTTAATGCAATGCAAATGCAGGATAGAAGTAAGGTAGTTCAAGGAAATCTATGCTGGATGAAGAAACACAGACCATCCTTGGATTTGTAATTTGTATAAGAGAAGAAGGGGGCCTACAAGGATGCTGGGGAGGGACTCTTCATTAGGGACTGTAGTGGCAGGACAAGGGGTAATGGGTTTAAACTTAAACAGGGGAACTTTAGGTTAGATATAAGGAAGAAGTTCTTCACAGTGAGGGTGGTGAGGCACTGGAATAGGTTGCCCAAGGAAGTTGTGAATGCTCCAACCCTGGCAGCATTCAAGGCCAGGCTGGACAGAGCCTTGGGCGACATAATTTAGTGTGTGGTGTCCCTGCTCATGGCAGGGGGGTTGGAAGTAGATGATCTTAAGGTCCTTTCCAACCCTAACTATTCTCTGATTCTATGTTTCTAAGAAGGAGGTCATCTTAGATTTAGGTAAATACTGTATATCAAAAATTAATCTGATGTTCAGTAGGATCTTGTCACATAGCCCTAGGAATAGACTGCATTTAGCTTGAACTTGCCATGGGTTTTGGGAGGGTTTTTTTGTTCGGTTGGTTGGGTTTCTTTTTCTTCTTATGTCTGCACTAAATTCATATAGAGTGATTCTGCTATTAAGTGTATTTGATACATTTTCCTTAATGATTATATCCAAACTTTTTAATTCATAATTTGTAATTTTATTTGATAGAGTTTATTTAAAAAGACATTTGGCATGCCAGTAGAAATGGAGAGTCAGCAGTATTCAGGCTCTTTATTATATATCTTTGCATATGTATGTATGCTAATGTTTCAGTATAAAAACAATGAACATTCCTTACTTAAAAGCAATAGCATTCCTTACTACCTTAAAAAGCAGGTCTTCTCACAGCTACTGAATGTGAAGTATGTTTCAGGAACTAATTTCAGATATTTTGCAAAAAGCAGTCAATCCCTTTGGGCTTCTGCCTGCACACTGATCTTTGCATCTCCCAGATAGAAGAAGGTATTAGCATAGTGTACTGGTCCAGTCTTCAGGATTGGTTTTTGTGTTATACGCCTGATTAAAAATTTAAACATTGCCACCACAAGTGTCAAACGGTCACCAGGGCATCTGTAATT